GCAGCTAGGCTCTGTGGTAACAGGTTATAAATACAGATAACTATAAAATAGATAGGCAATAGTAAATTCTTAGTGGATATAACAGAGTATCTTGTTCTTATAAGTTATAGAAAACTCTACCCTGGAAAAGATTTTTAATCACAAATAACTTATTTTATTTATATAAACTAAATTAATATTTATATGTGATGTTTATTTTTCTTTATTTTTAAAGCAGCCCTCAGAATTGTGACTGAAATTACAGTAGTGAACTACAGTCCATTTGAGGGACCAATAGCCCAATACATCTTGGCATTAGCTGATCCCACAGCCCTTCCCTTCCCCCCCACCCCCTTCCAACTTACCAGCTGGAGGCAGCTCTCCAAGGTGCCGGCTCTGCTCCATGCTGCACACACATTTATCAGCCAAATTATCGGCCCCATAGAGCTGACATCCAATATAGACAATTTTCTTTGTATTGATACTGATCCAATATCAGACTGATGCATCAGTGCACCTCTACTTTTGATTATGATGTTAAAGCCTTTATAAAGTTCCTTAGAACTGGAGGCTTTGAGGTAAGAAAAATGAACTAATTGGGAAGTTGGAGGGACAGCCTGAGTACTTGGATTGAAGTTTTATTTCTTGAACTTCTGCTGGGATTCAAACCAGTGTGGCACTGAAACTGCATGGATGGATCAGAAGACTGCTTGTTGCCAAAAGAGAATGCATTTTTTAGTGAATGAATGGTCACTCACTTGAGCATATGTGTGTACTTGTCAAATAAAAAAGAATAGCCACTTGTCTCCTTGTATCATCGCTCACTGCTCTGGTCACAAGTGCAGATGCTTGCTTGCTTGCTTGCTTTTTCATCACTGGAGCCTGCTCCACCTTAAGACAAACTTCACAAAGTTGCAAGCCACCCTGTAGCTTGTCACAATACAGTAGTACTCTGGGCGATTCATTCATCTCGTCCAGGTTTTTGTCATTCCATCACTTAATTACCAGGGTTCCAGGAACTACAGAAACCAGTGAACCTGTTGATGTAAAGCATTCATAGTTAGAGGACTGGAGAAAAATATAAAACACGTTTGAAATGGGATGCTTTAAAGTGCATAGAATAATTGTTAGTGGAAACTATATGCAAGGTTTTTTTGCTTTCAGGAGTTTCATAACAAATTTGTTGGGTGCTCTTTCCAGCTTTACTAACTTAATTTTATGTTATGCTTGAAAGCTACTGCAAAAAAAGCCTTTTCAAGAACATAAAAACTAACTGCAGCACACAGACTTCCAAGTATCTTGCAATATAAATATTATTGCTTCCTGTTTTTTTATTTTTGAAGACTTCAGCTGCTCATTCCTTACCACATTCTTTTCCATCAGATTCATTCTGAACCAAACTGGGTGCTATAATTTCCAGAGATTTTTTTTTTCTACTGTGTCATTTTTATCTCAAATCTGTTTGTTCTCTGGGCTGATCTATGCTGTCTCTTCAGTTATATGCAACTTCCTAGTATAAAGGCTCTGAAACCTAAAGAAGTTGAGAGTGCCAGCCTGTATCTTTACCCTTCAGGTTACACAGTGCAATTGTCATGATGAGGAATACAAAAGTTGCATGATGAAACCTGTTGCTTATATGGGAAGTGAAAGAGGATGTGAGAATGATACTAGTAAGGAAAGAAAAGCGACAGGGCTGCTCTAACAAGCATTATGGAGTGCTTGAAAAGTACAGGAAGAAAACTCGCAATGCTCATAGCTATGACCATTTCGTTGAATTAGTTGTTACATGTACAAGTACTTTGTGAACTCTAAATGTTGTTAAGCACTTGACTGAAATGAAACCAAAACATCTGAACTTGATAACAAGGGAGAACTGCTGTCCATTTTAATGCATGTTTTTAAACTTTGTATGAAGTGAAAGCAAACAATCTTAGTTGCATGCTTAAACACAGTTTGATAATTGGTTTACTTCATAACAAGCTATCTTAATAGTGGTTCCTCAGAAAAAGAGTAAGTTCCTGAGTGCATGTAAAACTTACTAAATTTACTATTTCACAGGCTAAATTTTAAAAATCTATTACTCAAATTTGAGTAAGGAGAATTTGGAATGGCCAAAATATTGTGAGTTCAAGTCGAATTTAAAAAAGAAACTTTGTCAGAATATATTGCAGTTCAGTGAATGCCACTCACTTTGTTGTTACTACAGCTTTAGTTTCTGATAACTTTAAAAAATAAATTCCCTGTATTCATTGTTTTTAAAGCCCCTTTAATGATTAAGAAAAATGATATTTAAGGATTAAGAAAAACTAGTTGAGATTTGGAAGAAATTATGGTCAGTTGGCTATTGAGAACAAAAACAAACCAGAGCTCTCTGAGAATTAACTTCTGTCTATCAAAAGCAGATCTTTTAAAATTGGATTCCAGGGGCCTTGTCTTTGTTGCCAACACTAATATGGGTGTCTCCTCTAATAGCAGAAGTACATCAGATTAGGTGGTGCTTTTTAGAAATGTCTGGCAATGAAATAACCAGTTCATATTTCACTTTCCTGTTTTAGGAAAATGAGAATTAGGGGTGTGTACAGCTCAGTATCTTTTCCTCATGGTGCTCTAAAGGGAACTGAAGTGTTATCTCTAATGCTAGATAGGAAACAGCTACATAACATTTTACATGAATTGTATGGGCTAGGGTTGAATTGTATTAATTTTAAAACCCTAACAGTTCAAATCCATACAACCTTAAACAGGAGTTTCATTAGAACTGCAAACATTTTTGGTACTGTTGCATGCTAGTTAGTTTGTATTTATATTGTGGCAATATCCAGAAGCCCCAGCTGGGATTGGCTTCATAGTACTAGACACGCATGAGAAAAGTTATTTTTAAGAAAATTAGTTGGTACTGAAGTTGCCTGTTTTAGTGGCTTTGTATTCTTTGCTTTACTGTCTTTTTGAAAATGTGTCCTTTCCCATTGCTGCATAAAAGACCCACACACAGAGACTAATGGTCTTTAGGGAAAATGATGATGCTAGTTACATAAGGAGCCTTCAGAGGAACAAAATGAGCAAACTAAGGTGGAGGGGAGTCTCTTGTAATCTGTCATTTAATGTAATCATGCATCACTTAAACAGTATTTAGTAGGTGTTCAGAAGAGAATGAATTTAACTGTCCTTTTTCTAAAAAATAAAAAAAATCCCCAAATACTGTGTTTAATCCACGATGAGAGGTTTTTTTCCCCATTCCCTGCTGCAGCAGTGGGTTGGGCAAATTTTTAAGTTGACCCTTCCATAATTAAAGTCAATGCATGGAAAATCATAACACACTTATAATTTTCCACATATAACATCTGATTGAGGGGGTCACTTTAAATTTTGAAGTAATCTGGGATTCAGATAAATACAGTAGATTTTCCTTACTTTTTCACTTCAGATATGATAGTTTAAGATAATTTAAACAGTAATTTTTAGTTGTACATGTCCTGTACCTTGATGTCAGAACATGCCAAGTATATTTAGCTAATTCTACCTAAAATAAATCTGTCTGGTAAACCTGACTTGATTCAGAGACAACATCCAGCCTTTTGACACCTAATTATATTGCAAGTGGTAAACTTGATTATCATCCTTTATGTGTCGTTGACCCCTGATCCCATTTAAGATAAAGTCCTCTGAAGAGGTAGAACAACTTGCTGCATCAGAGCCTGAGTTTTTTGCAGATATTAACATAGTCTGTCCCTGCTATTCAAAGGCCCGAGGCCTTTGAACTTGGGTATATGCAGTATTTATGTATGGAGAACTCTGGTCCCTGCCAGCAAGTGGGGTTCACCACCTAGTTTTAACTGTATGACTCTAGTATTCCAATATACTTATGATATTATATTATGATTATATTATTATAGTATAATATATACTTATAGTATATAATATAATATATCTTTCCTTAACTTTTTAAGGTTGCATGATGGAATCCAGATTTTCCCAAGACAAGTTGCACATTTTGGATCAGTATCGCTGAAGTTGGCTTCTGTTTGCCCAACACTAAATCGAGTCTCTTGACAAGTCTGCCCAAAAAACATATAAAATGGATCTCAAAGAAAGCTGCCCGAGTGTTAGCATTCCTAGCTCTGATGAACACAGAGAGAAGAAAAAGAGGTTTACTGTAAGTATACAAACATTTCCGTAGCCTGGATATCTAAGTTAATAACTTGTGATGGTAGGGGTATGTTTTTGCCTCGTACATTAGCAAGCTTAAATATTTGTGGATCTTAGCTTTTGCTTTATGGAAACGAGTGTTCTGCTCAGTAACTGTGCTAAGTACTGGAAATAGGTCTCTGTCCATTTCTCTCCTTTAACATTTGCTTTAAGGGTTCTTCCACTTTTAATAGAAATAATCCATATTTGCCTTTTAATGTATATTTTTAAAACAAACAAACAAACCTGCAGCATTTTCTTATATTTAGTAATCAAAGTATGGGGAAAGATTTTGCACTAGACCTCAGATCCAAACTGTGGTATTGTGTTTTTTTTTGTTTGTTTGTTTTTTTTAAATAATAAAATAGTGAAGAAATAGTGAGTTGTACCTGGAAAAATCTTCCCCCTCTGGAGGTTCTTATTCTGCTGTTTTCAGTCTGATTATTCTTTTTTTCCTCCTTTCAGTCTCCCCAACTAGTGCTAGTGTGTATGGGTTTGTTTTTTGCTTTTTATTTTTTGTCCATATAGTCAATGGAAATGGATGTTCTTGGAGTGTGGTGGGATCTTGTATCAAAGGTGGTGCCAGGGCTAATTTATAGATACTTGTAAATTGAGGGTTTGTTGTTGTTTTTTTTTGCTGGCCTCTGGTAGACCACAGAAGTAATCTCCATCATAACTTTATCACTAGTTTTGTGAAAATATCTAGCTGCAACAGTGGCTTGTTTTGTAAGAGTGGAAATGGGAAGCTGAGTGGTTTTGATGGGGGGGGCGGGGGTTATCTTTGCTTGTTTGTCTAAGATATGAAACTGTCATCCTAATGTTTTCTTTAAAAATGTGATCTGATTCATTGTTCAGTTGTGCACCTTCTGCTTATTTTTTGAGATTTATTTGGTTGGCTTGTTCTAGAGAATAATCTTGTAACTTTTCAACACCTTGCTTTGTTTTCGGACTACAGTTAGCTATTCCCTATTTACCTTTCCTTCAAAAGGAAGACAATGTACCTTGATTATATTTGGTGTAAATATAATCAAGTATACCATGATGTAACTTTTTGGGGTGGAGGATGATGAGAGGAGGAGAAAAGTGGCTTTTGGATTAACATCTTGGGTTGTAGTTTTAATGGGTGTGTAATTTTTTTGTTAATAAGTCTTTCTCAGAGCTTGAGCTTATAAAAAAGGTGCTTTTGTACTACCTAAATGTTGGTTCCCCGTTGTCAAGACTAGGGCACTTTTTTTGCTTGAAATATTTGGCTGTTGTAAGTCAACCAGTAATAGCAGCTGCTGGACTTCCAGTGTAGGCAGGGCAGTGACAACCAACCACAGTTCCAAAGCCCAGGATATGTAGGCCTTCCTAAGGGAGGAAAAAAATGACAGGGTATAACCTAGAAACCCTGCATTCCCACAAGTGGAGTAGCCCCAGTCCTAGCAATAGTAGGGGAAATTTTTTGGTAGATGAATAAAGTACAAGCACAATCTAATCGGGGAGAAAGTTCCTGGATATGGAAGCAAACTCAGTTTTGGCTTGTTTCATTTTATAGCAAGGAGTAATTAGCAGCTTGACAAAATTAAACTTTCACTGAAAACTTGTGAGCTTGTCATATATATTTTAGGATTCACTAACACTATCAGCCAGGAAGTGATGGTCACATTAATAGCAGAGGTAAAAGTTGCTCTACTTTGTATCAGTTTATATAGTGTATTTCTTTTCCTCTTATAAATCCATGCTGCAAGGTCTCTGGAGACCATTAGTATTGTTCCGTGTGCCTGCAAGAGACTATTTTGGACAAATTGAAGAAAAAGATTATATTTGAACAGTCCCTTTGTAGTAAATGTTATTATTGCAAAAGCTGTACGGAAGATGACTATTTCCATGGTTGGGTATGCGTTGCTTCTCTTGTAGTTCTTGGATGGCCGAAGATGGGAAGATGTCTAATCTGGAGGTGCTACTTCTGTGGAATGGAGAAAACCAGAATGAGAGTTTAACAACTTTGCTAACACAGTCAATGGAAATGGATGTCCACAGCATGTGGTGGGATATTGCATCACAGGTGGTGCCAGTTGATGATACTGAATCTTGGGCTAATTCACACATTTATCACTTGAGGGTTTTTGGGGTTTTTTTAATGGCGTCTGGTAGATTAGGGGAGTAGTCTCTCTCATAGCTTTAATGCTACTTTTGTGAAAATGTCCAGCCGCAAGCGGCTCATTATGTAAGAGTGGACAGCAAAAACAGAGGAGAATGCCATTTTAAAAACAGCTGCCTCCTTAGTCTGGCCAGTTCTCAGAAGCATAAACTTCAGCTCAGTTCCTTGGGTGGTCTTCTGCTTTGTCTAAGCAGATGTGCTTCAGCTACAGGAAATTCCAAATAAACGAAAGTAGTTTATACCTGGGAGATTGCTGGTGTGATTTATATAAGGCTTATGTCGTCACCCGAGTCTTGGTGTAGGAGGCTTTCAGGCTTGGCTTTCTCTTCCTAATTTGGAGCAGAGAAGGGATAGTCTGTCAGTTTCCCTGGATCTCCTGGTTGATACTTGGTCCAAGGATCTTCCAATTTTGAGTTCTCCCTGCAACTCGGAAGGAAAAAGGGATCGGTTACTGAATTTGGGTATGGCTTCACATTCCTAGGATCTTCAGACTACCTTAGTAGCACTGGACCCGGTAGGTTTCTGCTTTCCTTTACCTCCTCTTCTCCTCTTTTGGCCAGGAGGATTGGAGCTGCATATTTCTTTTAGAATCTTTATTTTCTCTACCTTCAGTTTTTTAAAGCAGTGGTAAGCCCGAGTGGGCATCCTCCCTTTCTTTGCGATGGAGTTGGTGGTTTGCCTGGTTTTCTTGGATAGTAACGCATTGTTTTTATGGGGAGTATAGAGGTTCCACTCACACTTTTATTCATGGTTCTTCAACACTTATGGCAGTGTAAATTTAGAATCGGAGATACTATGTAGCTTTAGGAAAATACTGTAATAAACACTAGGACTAAAAGACCTGCGTCATTAAGACAGTTGCTGCTCTTTGTGGGCATCCATGTCATCTTTTTATAAATTAAATTGAACAGGCTCCCTCCCCTCTTAAATCCTCCTTCCCTCCTTAAACCAACTAAATCTAGTTTGGCATCTTGCCCTTTCTCTGACCTACCCTGTCTCGCAGCTCATTCCCCTGATTGTTAAAAAACCTTTTCTAATTTTCATCCAAAATCTGGTAGAGACTGTTTTCTCTTGTGTCTTTGAGCTTAGTAGCTCTCTTCCCCCTCTGGTGTTTGAATCTTTATTTAAAGCAGTTGTAGCCCTTCTCAGCATTGATTTTTTTAGCTATGCTTAACAAACAAAGCTCTTAAAGTTTGTAGTATGAGATGAAACTCTATTCCCTTCACCCTAGCAATTCTTTTCCATATCTGTTCCAGTTCTTAAATTTGCCTTTCTTGACCAGGGATGACTAGAATTGTATGCAGTATTCTAGAGGCAGTCCTTATCAGTGCAATGGCATAAATACTTCCAGTAGAGCTATACAAGTAGCTGTATTGGAAACATCTCACCCAGTATATCTCAGTATCACATTCATCTTTCATGACTGTGTCACACGAGTAGCTCACTCATCCTGTGATCAGTTCAAGTGATCCTCTTCAGTCAGTTCCTACTGTGTAGCAGAAATTCTTCTTAGACTGTGGATATGACTTTGAGCTTCATACTACTGAATTTCATCCCTTTTACTACCATCTTCAAGGTCATCCTGTTCTTCCTACTGAAGACCTCCAGTGGTGGCAGCTTCACAGGGGCCTGGCCACCAGTAGCCTTGCCACTGGCTTTAAGCAATAGATAGCACCAGCTGGCTCCTGCAAGGAAGTGGTAGAGGAGATGCTCTTGTCTTTTGTCCTTGACTGATCTTGGCTGCATGGCCCTTATCATGACCTCTGTGGTGCTCTAGACTTGGATTTCTTTTCATATGTACATTTTCATGCTTCTCTTAGTTTTTGGGCAAAGGACAGAAATCTGCTGGGGTACATGAGGTGAAACTGAGACAGAAGGGGTACACTTATTTAAAAAACCTTGCTCTAAATATACTACTACTTAAAGGTCCATAAACAAGACTGGCCCTTCTTGAGGAACTTCAATATTAACCGTGCTTTTTAGTGGAACTCTTTTTTTTTTTCTCTAGCTTCTCTCTTTTTTTTTCCATGTGCATCAGAAAATGTTTCGGTTAAGTCCAGGTAGGTCAGACAACCTGAAGGGTGGTCTCAAAGCAGTGTTCCCTCTAAGCTGTGTGGTGTGCATGGCCGCACAGGCACGCCTGGCAGCGTGGCATGAGCGCAGCTGAGCACACCACACAGCTTAGAGGGAATGCTGTTCCAAAGAGGATGGAGCTAGACTGTTCTTAGTGGCAGCAGATAACAGAACAAAGAGCAAAGGTGGCAAGCTGCAGCAAGGGAAGTTTAGGTTCAGTATGAAGAAAAACTTTCTCACTAGGAGGGTAGTAAAACACTGAAACAGGTTACCCAGACAGGTGGTGGAATCTCCATCCTTGGAGGTTTTCAAAACCTGGCTAGACAAAGCCTTGATTGGGATGATCTAGTTGGGGATGGTCCTTCTTTGAGTACAGGATTGGACTAGATGACCTCCTGAAGTCCCTTCCAACCCTAATTTTCTATGATTCAATAACATTTGTCAAGCCTGGGGTACTGAATTTGAGCTGCAGGCTGGTATGTCAATCTTAGGAGAGCCAGTACTTCAGTCTGGTTTGCATCTGAGGCTCCTTGCTCCTTTCCTGGGTGGTTGCTAGTTATTTCTGGTGAATCCACACTGAAAAATGTTTAAAGAAGAAAGAGAAGGTAACTGTTTTTTCTAGGCATTATGGCTCACTATGTGGCTGATACACGCAGCTTTTGCTTTTCAGTCCTCTGCTTTCATAGGCTTTTAATAGGGTGCTGCAGTCGCCCTTGTTTATTCCTTATGTGGGAGCATACTCTGCCCCAAAA